ACTGTTTAATTCAGGTAAGAAGTTACTTTTTATATAGTTTTGTTGACTTTATTATTAGAACTAATTGTTGATTTGTATCAATTTGCAAATGTATGCGTGAAATACCACAGTTAAGTTAGTCTAACCTCAAATAGTCATGACTCAAAACTAAAAATTAAATATGATTATTTGCATTTGTTCACAACAATGCTACTTGGTACACAATGAGATACCGGGTGATAGTACACAATGACTGTCCCATTGTGTACTACTAAAATTTGTACCAAGTGTTTATGCTATAATGATATGTTGTATAAGTAGAATGAAAGTTTATTATGTTTGTTACAGACATGGTGCGCAAAGAAAAACCAAGGAGTCGAGCGACATTCAGCTCCGATGATATGACAAGTGCCGTACAAGATGTTTTGGACGGAAAATCATTAAGAATTGCTGCCGTTGAACACGGAGTAAAATTTCGGACATTACAAAGATATGTCGCAAAAAAACGTACTAATCCAGATGATGATCGAATGGAACCCAATTATGCTGTACGACGTGTGTTTACAGAGGAACAGGAAATTTCTCTGTGTGACTATATTAAAACTTGTAGCAAAATGAGCTACGGATTAACAACCATTCAAGCACGAAGGGTAGCATATGACATGGCAATTAAAAACAATATTCTTGTTCCAACGAATTGGATCAAAGGTAAAATAGCTGGACTCCAATGGTTCCGTTCATTTTTAAATACGCGTGGGAACCTCAGTAGCTAGATATCCATTAGCTGTGCCTAATATCAGGATATATAACCTTGATGAGACTAGTACAATAACAGTGCAGAAACCTAAGAAAGTCGTGACGGAGAAAGGTGTAAAACAGCTGAATAGTTGTACTAGCAGTGAAAGGGGTATTCTTATTACGACATGTGTAATTGTATGTGCGAATAGTACGTTTCTGCCTCCTGTTATGGTTTTTCCAAGGAAATATTATAAGGAGCATATGACACAAAGAGCTCCACCTGGCACACTGGGTTTGGCAAATCCAAGTGGATGGATGAATATCGAGCTGTTTGTTGACGTTATGAAACATTTCATTAAGTTTAACAACAGTTCAATTAAAAACCCTTTCATACTGCTCTACGACAATCATGAGAGTCACGTAACATATCAAGTTGTTTAACTGGCAAAGGATAATGGTGTTATCATACTGTTATCAATTTTCTCTCCCTTTAAAGCGTATTAAAATGCTGCTATAGATTCATGGTTGCTGAACCATCCTGGTAAACCTATTTCAATATACCAGATAGCACAATGTGTAGGAGAAGCACATATGAAAGCATTAACACCTACTAATATTCTGTCAGGTTTTAATAAAACGGGAATTTTTCCCCTTAATAGGGACATTTTTTCTAAAGCTGACTTCATTGGCAGTTCTGTGACTGATAGACCAAATAAAACTGAACAGCCAAATCCACAACCAGAGTCGACAGAAATGTTTAGTGTGCTTTCCAATCAAGTTATATTATCCTTATCGAAGACACCTGAAAATCAAGAAGTATCCCCACCAAGGTCACCTGAAACACCGATAATGTCTCAAAACTCTAGGTCAATAGTATCATCTGCGAATTCAAGTTATTTCATCTCCCCTCATGAGTTTAAAGGATTTCCAAAAGCAGAAAAGAAAAAAGGTGGAAAGGCAAGGAAAACTAAAAAGAGTGCAATTTTAACTAACACACCTGACTTGGATCAGTTAAAACTACAAGCGACAACCAAAAAAAATGACTCCTCAGAATAATAAACGAATTAGGGTCAATTTAAATAAGGTACCAAAGCGAAAAAAAAAAAAAAAATAAACGAAGTAATAGCACTTCATCTGAGGAGGGTGAAGAACTAATAAATTACGATGATTATTCTGATTATTCCATTGATAATTTTGTATTAGTGAAATTTGAAAACAATATATTTTATGTTGCTAAAGTTCTCCAGACATTAGACGATAATGAATTTAAGTGTCATTTTTAAGAAAAAGTGGTAAGCTTCAAGGCTGCTTTATTTTTCCTTTAGTTAAAGACATTGCTGCAGTAGCAAGGTCAGACATTATATCAATTCTACCAAAACCAACAAATTTAGATAAAAAAATAAGCGCCTTGCATCTTATTTCAAATTTGATGTAAAGTTTGACAGTATTAAGATCCGTTAAAATTTCCTTTCGTTTCAGTTTTTCTATTGTAAATGTAAAATTTTTAATAATAAAAACTACACTCTATGTATTTATTTTAACAAATTATTGAAATAATACCACTTGACTCATTGTGTGCCACCACTTGACTCATTGTGTACCACCAATCGTACACAATGAGACATATGTAGACGGATAGCAAAATAATCATAGATTTTGTTTCTTCACTCATGAGGGAATATTTGTTTCAGATTATATTGAGGGAATAATCATATTAATGCCTGGTTAACTCAGTTTGTAGAAAAATTCAAAAATGTCAATGTCAGACATAAAAATGTGTTTTTTGTCTCATTGTGTACTACCCTCCCCTATCCGTGCCATCGCCCGGTCCCGTGAAGCATGGATAATCGGGGTTCTACTGTATATAGTGAAAACCTAAATGACCTGACGACGCCCCTGTTGTCTTTTGCAACCAATGAACAATTGCATTAAAATTAATTTGTAGTAATTCCAGCATTGTTCTAGCATGGATCAATACATTTTCCATTTTATTAAAACCTTTCGTTGCAAATAGGATTTCACAAATTCAATCCTTGACTAATTCTAATTCCTGCAGATATATAAACACATAGATAAATCCTGCAGATTTATTGTCAAGTGGTATTTCACCCACGGCACTACAAAATTCTGATCTATGGTTTCATGAGCCTCCATGGATATCATTGGCTGAACATTTCTCGCCTCATCAACTCTTCAAACAGGTTAAAATTCCTGAACTTCGATCTACTGTTAATCTATCCGCAAGAATTTGCATGAATCTCGACATTATTTACCAAATTTCTTCCTTAACTAAATTACAACGAGTTGTAGCCTATGTGTTATGTTTTGCAAAAATTCCAGGCTAACCATGCCAGAATTTTTTTGCCTTTAACGATTTAACATGTGAAGAAATTGCCTGTTCTCTGATTTGTGTTATTCGCATTATGCAAAATTATTCTTTCGATGCAGTTTTCTTGTTGAAAATGATATAATTCGAGTTGGTGGAAGAAGTCACAACGTTGACATCTCATACCAGAGAAAGCATCACATCGTTATTCCACAAAACATTATTTTACAGACATACTTGTACGGCATGAACACATAAAATTACAAAATACTGGTCCTCAGCTACTTTTATCTTCCTTACGAGAGATATATTGACCTCTCAATTGACGCTATGCCATTAGAAAGGTTAGATACTGCATCACATGTTTTAAGGCAGCTCCAAAACTCTAAACTCATTTCATGGGTGACTTACCTTCTTCATGTCTTACCCCTTCTCGACCCTTTATTCACTCGGGACATGATTATGCGAGACCCTTTCCTGTAAAGGATCGTCTTACGAGAAATTACAAGACTCTGTAGCACTTTTTATTTGTCTGGCTACAAAGGCTATACACTTGGTGGTTGTGACTAGTCTGACTACGGAATGCTTTATAGTAGCTTTAAGACGTTTTACTTCTCGACGGGATAAATGCGCTTCTATTCTTTTCGATAATGGAAGTATCTTTAAAGATGTCAACAATGGATTCAACGGGTAAATAGCAGAGGTTTGATCGGTCAAAATAAAAATTATTGAAACTCATGGGTAAAATGAAAATTACCTGTAACAATAAAACACTGAAAAATTTGTTTTCAAACTTCCACAAAATTTATTTTAAATCTTATCACTACAGCTGTTTCGGCTACTTGCCTTTCTCAAGTGATCTATTTTTGGCTTGGGTTTACAAATTTATAGTCTCTAATGAAATAGGTTGAGGAGGGGAGAACTGTTTGTCTCAAGTTGGTCATTCAGAATTATATCTGTGTTTTTTAATTTGTTGATTTCCATAGATTCTAACAAAGATAGCTTAAGGCCTTTATTTTGAATGTGAAGAATTTTAAATTTGTCATTAAAAGAATGATTATGATCTAGAAGGTGAAGTGCGTATGTCGAATCTGTTTTTCTATTCTTGAAAGCCCTTTTATGTTCTGCTATTCGTTTATTAAAGTTTGTACCAGTTTGACCGATGTAAGTTTTTGGGCAGTCGCCACATTGAAGTTTGTACACACCACTATTTAAGTGTTTTTTATTTTTGCTCGTGTTATTTTTAATATATTTGCCTAGGTTGTTATTTGTTCGGAAAGCTGGTGTTATTCCTTTCTTTTATATGTATTTGGCAATTTTCTACCTCCTCAACCTATTTCATTAGAGACTATAAATTTGTAAACCCAAGCCAAAAATAGATCACTTGAGAAAGGCAAGTAGCCGAAACAGCTGTAGTGATAAGATTTAAAATATATTTTGTGGAAGTTTGAAAACAAAGTTTTCAGTGTTTTATTGTTACATAAAATTAATTTCCATCAAGTAACGGTCGAATCCATCAATTATTGAAAGTTACCTAATAATTAAATTAATGAACATTAGTGCCCTCATTCAGTTTTTCTTGTGATTTTTTTGCTCGTCTGGTTTGTTAAGTTGTAATGTTATCGTAGAGTTTTCAGAATATTATAATAAACCTACAAATTATTTTGTTAGTATGAACTCTGTTCGTTTTGTACTTATATTCTTTTATCATTACTTTTTGTAGAGTACTGATGATGCTTTTAAATAATAATATAAGTGAAATATATTCTATTAAAGTAATGAGGTAGTAGTCTTTCATTTCCAATAATTGATCGATCAAACCTCTGCAATTGACCTGTTGAATATTAAATATATATATATATTATATATATATATATATATATATATATATATATATATATATATATATATATAAATATATAAATAATTTGTAAAATATAAATAATTAAAGATTTACCTTGTTGTGCAAGCAGGTAATCGTTTCAACTCGTTTAAATTCATTAAGATGTAACTGAAAATATCCTTGTTTAGACAGATTTCGGCAGTTACCTGTGATTAGAACTTGACCCTGAAATTAAAATTATAAAAATGTTTTGCATTATATTTAAAACAATTCAATCATAGTTCAACCATATATAATATTCGATATATATATATATATATATATATATATATATATATATATATATATATATATATATATTATTGTGATATTCAAAGTAGTGTGCCAAGCAATTAATTAGCTAATTAATTAATTAATTGATTAAAATTTTTAAATGATATGATTATGAGTCTATCACACTTTTTAATTCTCTTATCTCAGGGTTATATTCGTGCTTCAATATCTATGCTTTACATGTGAAAGGTAAGGTCCAAAAAATACCGGAATAATAAAAACCATATATAATATAACATTATATCTTGAAATAAAAATAATGAAATAAAATTCACACTCAAATGTTTTCAGTAAACAATATCTAATATAATGATTCTCAAAATTTTGTTCTACGTACGTGAACCTTCAAAATTAATGGTACAAACAATATTAGATAAAATCTCAAAATTCCAATTATTATTCTAAATCTCCTAATCAAAATATTTATATCCTTTCTAAAGTAATTGTAAAAATTGTGTTATCAATAAAAGGAAAACTGCAGAAAAACAAAACGGTCTCTCTATGATGATGAGTTTTCCAAATCCTTGTTACTTGTAGCCTACACTATCTATTCTTAGCAGCTCCCTAGGTAATCAGCAATCTTACAACAAATTGTTGCAAGTTTATCGTCCTTAATGATCTCCTTCAAATGCACGAATCGTTCAAATTATGTTAGCATCTTCTCCTCTCGATAAACTGAATCTCTCGTTGGCCTGAGTGAAAAAAATGACTCTTGGAATATCTTCTCTTTACGATAAACTGAATGTCCCGTTGGCCTGAACGGTGACTCTTGGAATATAAGTAGAAAAATATGACTTACAATCTTTTACTGGATCAGCTTCTGTCAGATACACTAACTACACAAAAACTCAGAAACTTTCATGCTACTGCTTCCTACCTCTGGGAAACTACCCGAGAACAACGGCAGTTCGCCTTGCACCCTTGGAAATCAACTGGCTATCTTTTCTTTCTTCAAAAACTAACTAAAGTCTCATTCTCAAACCAACCATCCCACCTTTTTCAATCTCATCCAATCAAAACGCGTCATACATCTCCCATTTCTTCATCTCGATAACGCAAACAAATTTTTACCTATAATTATAAAATTTCCGAACATTATTTATAAACTAATCTTTTTCTACCAATTCTTATGAACTAACAAAAACATATCTTTCTCTCATGTATTTATAAACTAATCTTTTTCTACCAATTCTTATGAACTAACAAAAACATATCTTTCTTCTATTGTCCTAATTACTGCACAAA